CACCGTGACGTCACTAACCAGTAGGTGGCAGTAGTGTTCTTTGACAAACATGGATGCCTCCAGTAAAGCACATTCACATGAAAATAACTCGTAATTAAAAACACTGAGCATTTATTCAACAGTAAGTAATAATTTCATATTTAAAGTACTTTCAGAAGTTTTAATTCTGAATATGACCGGAGTTTTCCTTTAAAACGGTTTAATAACTGCTCCTTTAAGGGGAGCTGAAAGCCGTCTCTGTTCCAGGAGAAACTAAGTTATTAGTGTTTGTGAACCATGTCAATACAAAAATTTTATTTGAAAAAAATCAAATCAATATTAAATACACTGTAAAATTATGCTAGAAGTTATTTAGTATCTTCTTATTTCTTGCCTGAAAATATCATGATACCTCTATCATGCCATTTTTTCTGCTTTAGATACAGTGACATTTGAAACAGCCTGTTGGGGTTATTTATTTATTTATTCACTAATTTCAGGAAATTACATGTATTGAAACATAGAAGTGAATGCAAGTTCATCAATTTAAACTTAAGTGTAAGGATTAGGGAAGCAGAAAACTTATTAAATCCCACCCTGATGCTCATTCATAGTAAGCATATGACTTAGACAGATATATTTAGTCATTTTGTAAACACAAGTGTAAATTTCAAAGTTTAAACTTTTTGTAAACAAAAATAATATTTAAATTATATATATATTATTTAATAGTATTAAAGTATTAAAGTAATACTTTTTTTTTTTTTTTTTTTTCCTTGACAGCAACTTAAAATAAAATTGTAAGAGCAAAAGCAGTTAAAAAAAAATGCATAAATAAATAATAAGAATACTAATGTTTTTGGTACTGAGAACAAATAAGCAAAATCACAATTGTGTTACCTGAGCAGTTAATTAATTTTACATTTTTTTGTTTTCTAGTATACCAGTAATGATAAATTCTAAAAAATAGTAACAGTTTACACAATATCAACAGTAGCAGAGAGACATACCAACGATGGTAACGGACAAAGACCAGCATTGGTCAGAAGAGCTACAAACACACATTAGCAGACACTAATATACAGTGAAGACCCTCCCTGAACATAATGTTACCAGATCAAATGTTTGACGAGGATTTTAAATCTGAACATTTTTGTAATTGTTTATGTTGTGAACTTAAAGTTTTCCAGAGTTTCACTACACATACAAACAGGCAGAAACTTTTCCTAGTTATTGGATCTCTGGATCACTGAACTCACCGTAGCCTCTCAGAACATGAACCCTCTCTCAAAATTCTAATTTGTTTTGTAAATTTTGTATACGATAATAGGATAATATTTAACAAGATCTTATCTTAGGTTAAGAGTTTTTTTTTTTTTCATAAAATATTGTCGTCAGTTTACCAAACAGAGTCTGTCCACGTCTGGGGCCGGCAACGTGCATGCGACTCTTCAGCGCCCCCTGTGGCTCACTGAAGCTTTTTCAAAGCAAACAAAATGGAAAACGATGGAATTTTGTTTTCTTTTAATATAGTTTGTAGGAGGACAAACAAACATTCTTTGATTTACATTGCTGTAAAAATGTGTATAATAAAATAATGTAAGCATTGCTATCAGTAAAGATTAGCATCATAGCCTGTGACACGTTTCAGTGCGGCGCCAGGCAGGTGGCTGGTGGAAACAAAGCGGTGGATGCGCTGTAACTAAATTATTTTCCTCCTCACCTCCAACTTAATCTTTAAAAAACTGAACTACTTGTTTCCCAGCCGAACCAAAACAGATGCCACAAAATTCACATCCAGACTGGATCTGTGTCTCTGACTCCATAAAAGGAGGCAAGTAACTTGTGTGTCATGATTGATGACCAGCTGACCTCCGGCCATACCTAACCCAACATGCTACCAAACTCCTGGTGCAGTCTATGCTTATGTGATATGGTTATATAACGAGCTCGTCTGTTTCCATTTGCTTGTTTTCTAAACAAAAACCAGGCTTTGTTGGCTTGCTCAAAGTTATTTCTGACATTTTGAATTGAAAAAAACTTCCTGGATGGAAGAGAAACGTCTTCAAACTTCTAACCCTAACTAACCAAGTCCGGCGGATTGTTTTTAACTTGTTTGGAATGACCAGGACCTGGATGACTGAGAATCTTCACCAGTAAAATGAATATCATTTAGCAGAAGAAGAAATCAGTTTATTTGCATATTCCTTTTTTATGTTTTTTTATTACTCAAAATAAGCATTTAAAAGAATGATCCAAAGAATTGCTTCACCTGATTAATAATAATAATCAACAGAATATTCAGTTACTAGAATAAGTCCTTTAGCCCCCCCTCCCATTTCCTGTATGCTTATCTTCAAAAATATCAGAAACAAAGGCGACTTGAGCCTAAAAATTATCTTTAAAGATAATATATAAAAATAATCTAGATAGAAAAACTTACTTTCTGAAGTTATATTAGAAAGATTAAGATACTCTCTGAATGTGAAATTCTACGCTTTCAAAATTAAAAGACCAGAATCCGAATGATGAATATGTTCAAGTTTATGTATAAATTGGTTACTTTTCTCAAACGTTTGCTTTAATTTCTGCACATGCCTCCAGTTTTGCTTTCTGTATTAGTGCTGGATATATTGTTTCTTTTTTTTTCTTTTCTTTCTGTCTTTTTATAGATGTTCAAAATACCTAATAAACATGGTATATATAAAAAAGATGGATATGTTTTTCGTTGTTAGCTAATGAATGTATCAATTCTTAAAATAGCGGGATGCAAATCATGTAGCTTCTTAATGTCATCATGAGCGTTTTCATTATGATAACATGAGCTTAATGTGTTTCTCCTGAACAGAACGTTCCTGTGGCCTTCTACACGGATCCCAATGAGATGGCTCAGCATCTAACCATAAGGCTGACGGAATGTGAGAAACTGGAGCTTCCTGACGTTCAAAATGAAACCTCCGTCAATGATGATGACCAATAACTGTGAAACTTTGATGTTACACTTGTTGTAGTCTTAGTCTGTTAAAAGAAGTGGTGGAAAGTTTTCCCACCCGTCCAGGAATTGTACAGTTGCAGGTTTTATATTAGACGGCGTGAGAAAGATGGCTTAGGTTACCAGGATGGCTTCAAAACGACAGGATGGCTTTTAAATCTGTGGAGACATGAAACCTGTTCAAATGAACTCTGAATGTTTCAGAATGAGGATATTAAAAGTTTGTCTAACTTGGTTTTGTATTAAGGTTGGCTCTGTTTGTTTTTCCTACATGGTGGGAATAATTTTCTGTTAACCTTTGGGTTTTGAGATTATTGCTTAAAAATATATTTCCAATATATTTCCAATTAAAAACACCTTCTAGTGAATGAAAAAAATCTTTTCAATACAGAAAAAAAGTATTTGAACGCAGAAATATAGTTGAGACTACAAAGAATCCATTTGAACACTGCTTTTCTTTTAAAATGTTTTCTTTGATAAAAGTCAAGTCTTTTTTATGTTTAAAGCAACTTTTTTAGTTGAAGTAACGTTGTTTTTGATTGGACCATATCATGTGTAGGACATTTGAGTCTATCATTCAAACAAAAAAAGTTGCTTGAACAAAAAACAAAATCAATTAAAACAAAAGTCACTTCAATTAAAACATAAATGTGTCCAATCATAGCAAAATAGTTTTTGAATGCAAATAAAATATTTGAAACTTCAAAAATTGCATTTGAACACTTTTTTACTGATGATGTTCTCTTTAATCAAAGTATTTTTTTTGTTTGGACCATATATGGGGAGAACATGTGTGTCTTAATCTTTCAATTGCTAAAAAATATTTTCAATCAAAGAAATAATGGTTCAAATAAAAAAAAATAAAAAAATTTCATTGAAGTAATGGTGTTTTTAATTGAAAATCTATTTTTTGATTGAAGCAACCTTTTTTTTAATTGAATAATACACAAACTTACCTTGTATCTTCGGCTTAGGTCTAAGGTGTGAAGGGAGTTTTGGTCAGTTAGGGATGTACGTGTAAGGGTTATGTACAGGGTGGGGGTCAGGGTTAGAAATCACCTAATAATCAATGGAGAAAAATGTGTCTCTGCTGGAATCTTAACTGTATTTGAAAAACATTGGTGTCCTGCTTTATCTGTAAAACCACTGAAATTCAAAATGACAACTATGGTAACTGTAATAATACTGTTCCTATAGAAGGGAAAATACAGGAAAATGAACACAATGCTACAAAAAAAGAAAAACATTAAACTAAGGAAAAATCATGGGTTTATAAATAAAATGCTATACTAGACAGTTGCCTATGGCCCCAGGTTCCTGGGGGGCCCATTAAACTCTGTATACATGTATGGTTAATACAACTATTCCTTATTTGTGTACATCGATGATGTTTTTTTATAAAAATCCTTTCACTAAAATGCTCTGTTTGGTGATATCTGAGATGACGGTGCTGCTGCTGAAGCTCCTCGGAAATGTTATCAGCACCTAGAACAGTAGTGAGAATTTCAGCATCTATTCTTTGCCTGCTTTGTGTGTCAATTGTAATGGTTGCTAGGCGACAGTGCGTAGAGGCGGTGAAAGCCAGACAAGGCTGGACCTGTTTGAATCCACAGCCAAAAATCTTCCAGCCTCCTGATTTTCTGACCTGGAAGGATCCAGTCCATATAGACTGGGTCCCTGGAGGACGCCGCCTCTGAAACAAAGAAAAAAACACCCATATCTGTCAAGCCAATCCTGGCACCTGTGCTGTTTTGATTCAAGATTCACACCTGTCAGTGCCTCCCCATTCCCAATCAGCCTCCATCAGATCCACCTACTGACCTGACTATATAACCAGCTGTCAGCTCAGTCGCTAGTGCCAGATTATTACAAGCCATTGGTGACTTTAATCCAGCATTCTTGTTACCTGCCTGCAGATTTCTGACCGAACTCTGCCTCCTGATTTTCTGAGCCTGCCTGAACCCTATCAGACCTGTTAGTAATGTTGATGATGTGATGTTTGCAATTGTTTGTCTTGTTTGTTTTATATTTAAGTTCCTTTGAAATTATTCATAATTGGTGTATATAATCAAATATTTTGTATGTTTTTTGTGTAAAATTTCTCAACATGTTATTACCTATTTTTGCTTTTATTTTACATTTCATCAGCGATCTAAAGTAGCCAAAAGTAGAAAACAATCATTGTCAGTCTCGAAGGAAAGTACTGCCTTCTAAAGGCCCATTCATACCTCACGTTTGGCCTGCACGTCCGTATTT